AAGTGGAAAAGATTTTAGGCGAGAAAAAGCAAGGGAGGTCTACACTTGTTTTAGTGAAATGGTTAGGATGGCCATCGAAATTTAATAGCTATATCGACAAAAAAACCCTGGTAGACTTGCAAAAACCTTAAATTTCACATTTCCTTTCATGGCTATTTATTATTATACAAATCAAGCTATGGACAACAACGGGTTCTACGTTACGCTCCCGTGTAACGCTTCTTTATCCGTTTATCCAGAAAATCGTATATCTAGTTATAAGACTAATTTGTCTAAAACTATACACCTGAAAGGGGAATGGGAAGTAGCGCTCGCTGAAATTGAATATCCTAGAAGTTGGTATAATATTACAGACGTTGATGGTATCTTCAACCTAAACATGTACCCTGACCATGATAATGAAGAGAAGAAAAAAAAACTAGTAGCAAATGTACAATCAGATCTACATGGTTTCTATGTTTCCAGGCGATATCAAATACCCGGAGGATACTATAAGGATATACCGGCTGTGATCAAAATGATAAACGATGCAATCAAACCATCAGGGATATTGTTTTACGATGAATTAAAAAATAAAATTAATCTGGTTGCAAAACCTAACATTTTTATAGGTTTCTATGAGAAACTAGGAGCTATATTAGGAGTGAGACCTGAAGAGGGACTAGGTCAAACGGCCTACCATGAAAAAGCTGATTTTACCAGGACCGTCAGCACATATGCACCTCATCAAGCCGACATCAAAGGTGGATTCTACACATTATATGTCTACACCGATATCATCGACTACCAATCAGTCGGTGATTCATATGTACCACTTTTAAGATGCGTACATATAACCGGTGAAAACAACGATATCGTCAGTGTCAGATACGACAAACCGCATTACGCATCGGTCAACAAATCGATCATCACGGACATAAACGTAGAAATAAAAGACGATCAAAACCGAGAGGTAAGATTTGCGTACGGTAAAGTTATTGTGAAGCTACATTTTAGACCGGTGAAACAGACGTCTCTTTAAAAATGCCTTATTACAATACACATCAAGGTGAAATCAGCGATTATGTCAACTACTACCAAAATCAAGCTGGGGGAGGCCTCCCGGGCTATGCAGGCGGTGGTGTCATGTACGGATCAGGTCTGGGAGGGTTATTTAGAGGTCTGTTTAGAATGGCTGTACCATTGATAAAAAAAGGGTTCAACATCGCCAAGCCTCACTTGAAATCGGCTGCAAAAAACATAGCATCGGACGTAATTTCAAACGTGCTTTCAAGAAATCGTGACGAGAGACAACAAGACGGTTCAGGTCTTATGGTCATGGCCCGTAAGAGAATGTCTAAACCACCAGGGGTCAGGAGGCGTGGTCGTGCTATAAAGAAAAAGCCCACTGTCAAGAAAACTTCACTCACACGCAGGAAGCGTAAGAAGACTGTAAGACGGAATACCTTCGCTAAGAGAAACATAAACACCATTTTCTAACATGGCTCTACTCCATCGTATGTCCGGAGAGTGTATTAAGTCAGAGCTTGACTTATTTACAGTACCTTTAACACAGACGGCTATAGAAAAAAATACGTATGTTGAGGTACCTCCTCTATCAGCCATCTCGGATTCGTCACCTTTGGAGTTTTTTATAGCAGGCTCCGTTGAGGAATACATCGATCTAAATAACACATTGTTGCATCTGAGACTTAAAATCACAAAGCCTAATGGTGGTGAAATAGCAGATCCTGCAAAAGTCGGTTTAATCAATTACCCCGCCGCCACCATTTTCTCACAAGTCGACGTGAGTCTTGGAGATCGACTAATCTCTCAAAGCTCAAGCACCCACCCGTACCGATGTATCATCGAGAGTCTCATCAACTACGACAAAGACACGTTGGAATCAACATTCAGCGCCGGTCTCTTCTTCAAAGACACGGCTGGTCATATGGATGTCAAAGACCCCTTAGGCAATAATCAGGGTCTACTGAAAAGGTCAACATACACAAGCAGGAGTAAGATTGTTGATCTGATGGGGCCTATTCACAGCGATATTTTCTTTCAAGAAAAATTAATGCTCAATGGCGTCGATATAAAAATTCGTATGATCAGAGGTAAAGACGAGTTCTGTCTGATGAGGAGTGATGACGTAGCATATAAATTAAAAATTGTGTCTGCATCGCTATTTGTCAAGAAAGTATCAGTCGCACCGAACGTTCGACTGGCCCATGCTCAGGCTTTGCTATCCACCAACGCAAAGTACCCGATTGACAGGGTATGTCTGAAAAATTTCTCCATACCAGAAGGAGCACGAGTTTCAAATCAGGAAAATCTATTTTTGGGGACTTTACCGAAATCAATTGTCTTGGGGATGACCGATAACGATGCATTTACCGGTTCTTATGATAAAAACCCATTTGCGTTCAAACATTACGATTTGGAGTTCCTAGCCATCTACGTCGACGGACAACAAATTCCTGCTAAACCTCTACAGCCAAATTTTACAGACGGCTCAGTGGTACGAGAATTTTATCAACTTGTAACAGCTACCGGCAGACATCTTAAAAATCATGCACTGTCTATCAGCAGATCTGAATTTGCCAGGGGTTATTCTCTTTATGCATTCAACCTTACACCGGACGAAGACTGCGGTCAACACGTTTCTCTCATAAAGTCTGGAAATATCAGACTCGAAGCCCGTTTCAGACAGCCATTGCCAAATACCATAAACCTCATCATCTACTCAGTGTTTGACAGTATCATTGAGGTGTCTAACCGAAGACAGATTCTGGTTGATTACTATTAATCGGAAATGAACACCATTCAGCTAAACGCTATCATGGACAAAATTACATGTAACACCCATTTTCTCGGAACTCTGGCATCTGATCAACTACCTGAAAGACCGTTAACAAACTTACCATCGATGGTGATTATTAACACACACCCTTCAGAACTACCAGGGGAACACTGGCTAGCCGTTTATTTATCGGAAGATGGTGTCGGATGTTTCTTTGACAGTTTCGGTAACAAACCGGACAGTGATGGATTTCCAATAGCTATTAAAAACTTTTTAATGAGAAATAGTACAGTGACAAGATATTCTACAAAACGTGTCCAGGATTTTATGTCAAATGTGTGTGGTCAGCACTGTGTTTTTTTCTTGTATCATATGTCTATGGGTCGTGACTACAACTATGTGATGAATCTGTATAGTGAAAATTATGTTAAAAATGACAAAATGGTAGAACTTTTTGTGAAAAAACTAAAAGCTAATGTTTGCAGTGATAACATGTATTTGTGTAACCATTGTGTTCAGACCTGTATTTCTTCCATGATGTATAAATGAATTTAATGAGTAATAAAAAAAAAAACCTTACAATCATCATCTGTTTGTTGAATTTTATTTCAAGATAGTGATACACAAAACATAAAAAACATGAAACATGTTGACATTAAAAATGCATCCATCGACTCTTATCACGAGTAGGTGAAACAAACATGTCCTCTTCTAGTAGTTGTGTCCTTTGCTGATTTTTTCTCTTTTTACGCGTAGTTTTTTTAGTAGACAGAATCTCCTGATCATCGTCAATAGGGTTGTTTTTTAAACTAATAATCTTACTCCGAACTTGTTGGTTTGGTACAGTCGAAAAAGGTATGTTTAATTCTGCGCATGCTTGAAGAAACTCCGTCCATCCTTTAGGTCTTCGGTCATCTCGTACTTGTTGCGGAGCTGTAACGTTGTTTATTAAATCGAGCATGTGTGAACCAGGTATGGTTTTACCCTTAAACACAAACTCACCAGACTCGGACCAGGAGCTGAGATCTTTAGCTTTAGACATTTTGTCTAATATATACTTGCTGTTTTTCACACGTTTTGTCGGAACGTTCTTTAGAACTTCAGACGTCACATCATCTTTTGACTTGTCTTCAGCATGTGTTTCGTCAGAGTTAACTTTATGTTCGTCTTCAGGGTTTGGTAGCGATAGCGTTAAAACACTACTCTCACGATCGCCTAGTTTAACAATTGTTAAATATCTGGTTAAGATGTTTGAGTAAAGTTTAACTTTTTCACGTTGATCCAAATCAGTCCTGAGTAAAATATTTCTTATAGCCGTATCAAGATCATTCTCTACAACCTGTTGAATATTTTCACGAGCGCTTGTTGATTGTATTTTGTCCAGCTGATTCTGTGGTACGAGATACATTTTCTCTGCATACTCCATCCTTCAGCCCTGTCTAGAACCGATCAAACTTGAAATAAATGGTATAGCGACGCTTAGGAGCGGTAAAAGAAACCCGCCAGTCTGATTAAAGACCTTTTTCTTAGCCGCAATGTTGATTTTTTTATTAGCGAGGAATTTTATCGCAGCCCTCTTCTTTTTCAATTTTCTGTATTGTTGGTTGTTGATCGGTATAACTCCGTGTAGGATGTTGAGAGCGAGTTCGCAGAGAGCTAAAATGAGATCGTCAGATGCTGACTGGAGAATAAGTCGTCTTTGTTTAGCTGTAGATTTATGTAACATTTTTAATACAGGCAAATGTTTACATAGTCTCGCGGACATGGTTCGTTATCACGATCTTCTTTTTTTCTGGAGATAGACCACCTGACGATCTGAAAACAATCCTGTTCTGAGTCGAAATTGTTCAGGTGTTTTAGCTTTATAGTCGATCATGAGATACCCGAAAGGACTCTTGACGGCATCTTGATAACATTCCATAAAATATTTTGTGTTACCAGGATACATCTGACGCCCCAACACCGCTACTTGATTAGCATCACGGGGGTTTTTAAACAATATTAAATAATTTGTGTTCAAACTGATGGTTCTGCTGGATTTACCTTGAACAAACAAATTTTGCACGATAAGAATTGCAGAGAGATTACGATGATGAACGTATTGCGTGAAGACTTTTTCAATTTCGGAATTACCGCTTGCTTCTTTCATCATATCGTCGATAATCAACAAGTTTGTTTTATCACGGGGTAGTAGATGATCATCATTCAGACTCTGAGGTATACCTTCAATGAATTTAATGTCATACAATTTAAGCAATTCGTCATACAAAGGTTGCCAACAGTCATACAGGAAAACAACATTATCAATTTTTTTAGAAATCATATTTACAGCATTTTCCAATAGCATTTTTACAAAAAAGGACTTTCCAGAATTGGATGGTCCGCTTATGACACATGAAAACGGATGTTGAAGCCTGAAATCAAAATCAACCATTTCACGCATTCCTCTATACATTGAATTAAAAGCCATAAGGCAGAGTTGTGTAGTCGGGTAAAAGTCTTCGCTTGTTATACACCACCTTGAACTTTTTAACGACTGATTTGTTGTGGAGTGTGAGGTGTTTTTTATTCCTGACAATGTTGTCAGCTTGAGCTAAAATGTATCTAGAGTCATCGCCTGATGTAACATACCCATCAACCAGACCAATCAATGTGTCTAATCTTATCGTTTGGGAATTTTTAGCATTCAGAGTTATACCCTTAGCTTTCATACAGACTTTACCGGAAGCGGTACGGTAACCATAGGACTTTGGTCCGCTGGAACAAAACTCGGTAATATAATCACCATCGCCTATTTCATCTGTCAAGTCGCCCAAATAATCACCCAGAGGTGGCATCCAGTCACCGGCCTTGGATACAAAAATAACACTATCTGTGTCAGAGTATAATAAACGATCGCCAAGTTTATCCATCAATTTGTACAATTCTAACCTCGCCCACGAAGTTGTGTACGCTCCTACGAATACGTTAATGTCACGAATAATGTGATGACTATCTTCGGTAGGGTGAAATTGGACTAACGCTACATCATCTGAGATGAAAGTAAAATATTTCAATGCATCAGTTTTACCGAAAACAATCGTGGTGAATTCTTCAGGGTCTCGTACAAGTTGCGTAACAGAATGCTGAGACTCCATCGCGAAACGTCCCCAAACGGCATTTAAAATTAGCTTGTTTATAGCCCTTTGGGCCGGGTTATGAGTGATCTGTGAAGGGTCAAGTTGAATCCCCTCTCTCTCATAGTATTTGCGAATGTATGTCTCTTTTTCAGAATCAGTGGTAACATTTGAAGGGTATCCGGATGCTTGTTGTTTTAAACGTAAAAACGTTTTAACGTATTCGCTAAACAACTTGTCTGACCTTTCAGGAAAATGCCAAACTTCGTCGACTTTGACCACGACATACCCTTTCTCAATCGCTTTTAAAAGTTCAACACTGACCCAACACCCACTAAGTGCCCTCTCATCATCCGTATGATTACATCTTGATGTTTGGTTTTCAGCGTGTGCGCATGTTCTGCATAACGGGAACATGAGTTTACCGCTGCATCTGTAAGGGAGGACCGGATGTAGTAATTTTCGGGGCGGATACACAGTTGCCTTAATAAGACCGTAATAATTTTCGATCGGCTGAAAGTCGTTGAAAATTATTTCGGGATGACCTATTGGATACGTCTTTGTACTCATAATAAAGGGATAGAGCGACGTAAAATCCAAATAAGAAATGGTCTCCCCCTCCCCCACTTTGTGATACAACTTATAAGCATTGGTACGACCTCCGAAAAGCGCATCTCTGGGTTTCAGTCTTTCAGGCGCCGAATAAGTGCTCATAAATTCTATCACTGAAGGGTCTGTTTGTTTCATTTTAGACCATTCGCATTCCCAGATAATCTCTACTTTCAAGCCATAAGCGTTTTGTAGAATTTCAATTTTTTCGTCAACTTGACGTCTGAGAACACCAAAGGGTACACCCGACATGGGGTGGAGTTTGTGAGGCTCATAACGGCATTGGTGAGCGTGAAATAGACACCCCAAAAAATCAAGGCCATACCTTGAATCGCCCTGTTCGTAGTAGCCGTCTAAAAAGTATTTACCAATTTGCATTTCACCATGATTCAGAGCATGATGAATGTCAACGTTTCTAGTCTTTTTTAAATACTCCAACCATTCAATCGAGACACTCGAGAATGTCTTATTTTGCCGAATGTAGGCATTTTCATGGGTTAGAGCAATAGTGTGGTCTTTCAGATAGTGTGTCTTGAAAATTCCCATACAACAACTAGGAAGAGTTGTGTAACTAAATGGATCGATTTGTGTACACTCTATGAACGATTCTCTGTATGTCATGCATGCTTCACGGAGCAAGACAACATCATTTACACCATATTGGCACAACTGTTCCTTGAAGTCGAAAACCTCCCCTGTAGTAGTAGCGTACCACGCATCGAACTTTGCCTGATCTTTTTCCGATAGGTTTTCGTAACCATAATACTTTTTGTCAGGATAAGGTCCTATGTAGTTCTCATTTTCTAATCTATTGAAATGATGCGGAAAGTAGCCTTTTTCTGTTGTGGTGAGATTTAATGCTGCCGGCATCTTAGACAGAGCCATCGGTATGAAGGATATGCTATCTATGTAGCGTTGCTTAAATGAAACATCGAACATGAAGATTAATTTACAACCTTTCATGATGATGTTCATTTGAAGACCTGCTTTACAAAAATATTCAAGAATTAGAAAGGAGTCAAATCCGGATGCGTTATGAGCTATGAAACAATAGCCTTCGTATTTGGGATTTCTGAAATAATCGATCATTTTTTTCACACACTCAGACCCCCCGGCTACAAATCTTTCACCAGAAAATGTTATTGCGCAGACAAAATTTGCTACGTGTCTCCCATTTTCATAACGAGTCTCGAAATCGTAAAAGATGTATTTATTCTGAGGGTCCTTGAGTGGTACTGTCTTAATGAAACACTCGTGTTCTCCACCAGGGACAAGATCTTCACGACATGCACCACAGCGGTTTGGTGCACATATGTGTTTAGACTTTTTCTTTTCGTACCGTCTATTGCATTTCCTACAGTATTTTATAACGTCGCAAGGTACTTTTTCTCCTTGAAGCACAGGTTTCTTATGAGCTTGGTAGCAGTAAGACGATTTGCAGTAGCGTAAACAATCGGTACAATGAATGATTTTTTTAGGTTGCTTGTAACATTCGCTGTCGAAGCAGACGTTACAGACGTGTTTACATTGGTGTAGCCTAAGGTCATCAAACCCTTTATAGCAGAATTCACATACATAGGAAGCACCTATGAATGATTTCAGATTGAGAATCATGTAGTAATGTTCGTCTTGTAAATAAAGGTACACCGTTTTGTCGTGAGGCTCGTTGTTATTTACGTATGTTTGTAACACACCGGTGTTTGTCCTATAAAAAACAACAATTTTGATGTCTAGCATGTTTTCAAATTTTGCTATGTCGTGAAAACCGACCTTGTCTTGGATAGCAAGACCCACTTTATTGTGTATGATTGATGCACGGTTTTCTAATTCACACTCTGGTAATTGAGGGTCTATAAAATGAGCTATACAGATAGAGAAACATAATTTGTTTGAAATATTTGTAGGTATAAACAAGCTCGTCTTTTTTCTTTTGATTACCTGATCAAACGCCAAATCCGTAAGTTTACGGCGACCTCCTCCTAGTCTGTTCATTACAACCTCTGCTTCAATCTCAACAGTTTCATTAGCTGATATCCGATCATCGCTCTGCAAAATTTTTGCAATTTGATCTGTAAAAAGATTAACGTCGTAATTATTAGCCTGTGTTAAAACTGCATTTACATCCGATTTCAGGGTCGGTGTTCGAAGGCATAAATTGATGACGCTACCATCACCGCCAATCTGTCTAGCGAATGACACAATGTCATCCATGGTATCGTGTAAACGTATGTGGTACGATGCTAAATCCTGAGATCTTATTTCATTCATATTCAATGTCCTACGCAACGATACACTATTGAAACGAGGCCTTGGTAAAACATGATATTCGTTTACATTACCGCCATCTCTCAACAATGTTTCAATGTCTATCTGTCTTGTTGGCCTATGCCTTAAAGGCTCCGCAACATTTGAGGTTGATGGTTGTTCATCATCGACATTTGACTGGTGTGTTGATTCAATATCAGTCCTACCGTGTGTTGCATGGCTAGTTGAATGACTGTCGTCGTCATCATCATCATCAAAACCATCATCTGTCAGTTGGCTGTTAACAGTAGCAGAAGCACTAGTTTCCTGAGTGACTGCACCACCGCTCTGTTCACTGTTTAAAAAAGATTCAACATCTTCAGGCAAATTTAAATTCAATTCCTGTTCTATATACATTTCCAAATCATCCAGATTTGTAATTTGTGAAATAGGAATATTGTTAAATGTTATGTCTCTAGAATTTGGATACATATCTATCATATACTGAAGAGATGAAAATATATCTTCATCTCTGTCTGCATCCATTTCGACACCTCTTTGCAGTCTAACAGATAGAGTTTGGTCTGGTTGAATATTGTATGTATCATCTGTACGATTTTCATCATCCATTGTAATTTTTGATTTATTTTATTATTATTTTACAAATATTTTTGCTAATGTTTATTTTATTTCAGACTTTTATGTTTAAATTAGTTTTATTGGTTATTTTAGAATTATTTTGTTTTGTTATTAGATTTATTTTATTGTTTAACTTTTTTCTTCTGTATTTTATTTATTGTTTTATTTACATTTATCGTTTATTTGATTGCTTAAGTTTTCATTTTATCTATTTTATTTATATTTGTTGTTTATTTTAGGATTAATATTTACTGTGTTTATACAATTCAATCTTTATTTATACATATTTAACCATGTTATTAGAATTGGATGTGTGTCAATAATAGTAATACAATTATGAAGTAATGTATATGATTAGCTAGAATAAAACACAATGAAATATTTTATTACATCAATTTTAAAAGTTCAAACACTAAGTTCACAATAAAAACAAAGTCCAAGGAATACAAATTTAATATAGATCAACAGTAAAAGTTAAAACACTAAACAGCTGAGTCAATTTAAAGTTCATCAAAATGTTAAACTGAATTAAAATACATCGGTATTACATCAAATTTAAACTCATACACTAAACAAATGAGTAAGTTCACAATAAAACAGTCACAATTGAATAAACATTTAATATAGATCAACAGTTAAACATTTAAGACAATTTGGAGTACATCAAAATGTTAGCAGAATAAAACTTGAAAATGATTTTGTATTACATCAAATGTTAAAACACTATCAGTTAAATCAATTTAAAGTACATCAAAATGTAAAGTTGAATCAAAATACATTTGCATTACATCAATTTTAAAAGCTCAAACACTAAACAAATGACTAAGTTCGTAATAAAAAGAAAGCCAAAGGAGTACAAATTGAATATAGAGCAACATCTAAAGTTAAAACACTAAACAACTAAAGTCGATTAAAATTAGAAACGTAAGACAAGTATAGCATTTATCAGAGTATAAAATATGGACTTTTAAGTAGTACAATGATGAACGATCGTACAGATGATGAGAATATTTCTTTTAGGAATTATTCATCCATCAATGAATGCCTAATAAAAATGAGTAGTTTCGTTATTAACCGATGCCCCTGTTCACTTTTACCCATCAATTGTTGAAGCTCCCCAATTTTTTCATCCATACGTCGCTGTTGCTCAGACAAGAAATCCTTGACATTTTCTATCGCACGCTGCTGCTGACCAATAGAATCCGATAGAGCATTAATTTTTACCTCATATCTGTCCAGATATTCACGAATCAGACAATAAGCAGGCGACTCGTAAAAGTCTTTGATATTGCTGTGTTTGCTGACGCTACCGGGCTCCTGATTCTGCTGTGGGCGCTGGGGTCTTTCGGCGTCTTCCGGGTCTTCTTCTTCTTCTTCTTCTTCTTCTTCTTCTTCTACGGGTGCTTGAAAGGGATAAATCGGCTGATGTGCACCTCCCTGAGTTGATTCATGATGACCGCTGTTGAAAGCATCTTGTTCACACCATGGATCTGTAATAAAAAGAAATCAAAATATTGTTTAGTATTGACTAATAAATATATAAATAATACTTAACAATAAAATAATATTCATTTGTTTTCATTCAACAGTAATTATGTTTATTATATTGTCATAATCAATTAAATAAATGGATCACTAACCTTCAGATAAATTAAAATTAATAGCAGAAGGATTTGGTTCTGATGGACTGGTATAAGGACTTAGTGGGCTAGCAAGAGGTGTCCATGGATCTGTGTGTGAAAATATGAAAATCATAACGTTACGGCTGTTATTAAGTGTTGAAACAAACAAACAAAAATATGTTATTACCTGATTCTACGTCTTCATCATCATCCTCATCGTCCTCGTATTCTTCTTGCACATGAGTTTCAGAATTTTTTTGCCTTTTATTTACATATGGTGTGTAAACAATTCTTGGTCTCTTAGGGGCAGAAGTCCCCGACGCTGCATCAAACTTTTCTTCTCGCAATGATTCTTGTTGCACCGCAATCTTTTTTTCTTCTTCTTCCACCGTCAAGTCGATAACTTCAATTCTCGCTAAAATAGGTGAATGACAAAAATAAATAAATGCAAGTTATTACTCATTCTTACATTAAACAATGGTGATCTCACATCCGTCAGTGCTGTGGCATATGCTTAGCGCATTCGACCGGTGATCGAGCCTTCTCGCAACAGGAGGTTCGAATCCACCATACATCAAGAAGTTTAATTTATTTTAAATAAAAAGCATACCTTTTTCCGTTTGATTATCAAACGTGTGAGCCGAAGAGGCTATAAGAAAAAGAGAAACGTAAGTAACAATAACGAATAAATAAAAAACTATTGTCTAAATATATTCAAAACAATAAATATAATTATGTAATAATACTTACAAATAGGATTGATGGCATCAAAGGCGTCACTTTCGGAAGAATTTATTTCTGTAAGACATAAGCTGTAAGAATGAAAATATACCAAACACTGATTAATGAGGTAGTATACAAACCGCTAACCAGATGAATAATATATTAATTTCTACTCACGCAATTCCATATCTTGTTCAGAAGTGGCAGAGTTGACCCTCTTCAGAAGTTCCAGACGTTATAACAGTGTAACTGAGGATTCAAGTTTACTGTGAAAAAGCTCTGTAAAGGGGCCCTTTTTATGTCAAATGTCAAGAGGCGTTGTCTAACGGTCAACATTTTTCCTTATCACCTAACAAAATATAGTATTTAGTGGGAGACACCCAACATATACAATCAGATATACATATTCTACAGTTGATACAAATCTATCTTTTACAAACAGTTGATGGGTGTTGTCTAACGTTTTCCTTATCACATACAGTCAGTATGTTCATACCACCATGGAGACAACATCATATGGGTAAGTGATGCATTTAGTATAATTTATTAAATATATTATAATATAATAATTAAATAATGAATTTAATAACAGTAATTTAATTACCGTTATTATTATAATATTAATTTTATTTCAGATTGATTAGAATTTAATTACCAATATTTTCATTACCTGGAAATAACCTATTATTTTATATTAAAACGATAAAAATCTAATTACCGGATCTATTATTTTATATTAAACCGATAAAAATCTAATTACCGGAATCAATAATTTAATTAGTCTGATAAAAATCTAATTACCGGAATTATTATTTTATATTAAACTGATAAGAATCTAATTACCGGAACTATAAAGTTTATATAAAAGGGGCGGGGCTTAGACCGGAAGTCCCGCCTTAGGGGCGGGGCTACAATCCATCAAACTTTTTGACAGGTGGTACCCTATAAATCTCTCTGACAGTGCTTGTATTTGTAGCTTGAAAGCGGTCAAGCTTTTTGTTGATAGTTTCACTTTTATTTAAAACTTTAGGATTTATGCAGCTGCGTTTGTCCAAGACAAAACAAAACACTGAACTACAGGGGGGAAAAACATTGTCGCTAGCATCCGTTGACCAACTACACATTTGACTACATTACAAATTCTGTTAATGGATAGTTGTGAACTACTTCGATAAAGGAACGTTTTCGTACGTCAGAAGTTTGGGCATCTTGCTAGATACTGATATACTTGAAACAAAAGACTAGGGTGTTGTACTAAAATTTTACGCACGCACGCTTGTCACACAGCTTGCAGGTAAACTCACAGCATGTATTGTACATTCATAATCCATTCCCCCACCTTTTAAAATCACTCTCATAAACGGTCAAACTATAGTAAATTATTCGACGTAAATCTCAAAATACATGCAATTTAAAACACATTAATATTTAAAAACAAGTATGACATGTTTTACATAGATACTGTACTGAATGTACTGAAGCTTAACAAGTTAAGCAAATTTCAACAAACGTTATATCATGTAAACGAAATAAACACCCTTTGATAAATCTCAAGCCACTTTTTTTATCGAGGAGCTGGCCTGTTCCTGTTGCCCTCATCTGATGGCCAAACTCCTGTGCTGGCAAACTTTTTCAGACGTGAAATCCAGTCAGCGTCTGACATGGCTTTGTGGAATTTTTCAGACATTTTTTCTCCTATAAATTAAACGGTTTTAGATTTAAGTATCCAAATTTGAAATACAAAACACTAAAACATTAATACGTGCAATTATGTAGATTTTCTTATCTTTTTTAAGAAATCACTATCAGAAAAAAAATCCTGAACTTTTTTGACCTCTGACCCGCCTCCAGATGACCCTGTTATTTCTTCGTGTACCTTCGGCTCAGTTCGGAAAATTGATTGACATCTGACTAACCTGTTTGACTGCACACCTAGCGGTGAATCTTGGAACGGTTCCTTCCCCAGCTTTAACATTGCCATGACTCTGATTGGTCAAATGTTGAAAATGTTGAGAACTACGGTCCGCGATTGGCTGCAAATGTTGAGACGCTGCAACGTGATTGGCTACAATGTTGGACCCAATCGCTCCGATTGGCTCTTATCTTCAACATTTGTGAAATATTGATGGACAATCCTTCAGCAGCTGGCATTGCTAATCCATTGTGCTCTTTAAATCCCATCCTCGTCGCTATATGTCCTGGCATTCGAGAGAGCCTGGTGCTTCTGTGGAACTTGTTTTACTCTCACTCTTTTAGCGTTTTGAAGGATGTTGTTGCAAAATTTTATTACAAAGTGGCCAAGTCAATCGAATCCCATCCTTGTCGTTCAAATGCTTTGGCGTTTGAAAGAGGCCGATGCTTTTGTGAAAGGTGTTTTACTCGCACTCTCTTAGCGGTTTGAAGGATGTTGTTGCAAAATTTTATGTCACCTTTATAAAAAAAAGAGCTGCAAATACAAACATATATGCCATAGTCCAGCCCCCATCATGAAAGTGAGTACATACATGACGAGGTGGAAGAGTCCATCGAATCCCATCCTTGTCGCTCAAATGCTCTGGCATTTGAAAGAGGCCGGTGCTTCCGTGGAAGGTGTTTTACTCGCACACTCTTATCGTTTTGAAGGATGTTGTTGCAAAATTTAACGTCATCTTTACCGAAAATAGCATACATGACGGGGTGGCCGAGTCCATCGAATCCCATTTTTGTCGTTCATTTACTCTGTCGTTCATACGGCAAAACTGAAAGTCATCTTACCGAAAATAGTTGCAGAAACAAACATTTACAATTATGTGCCACTGTCCGGCCTCCACCAGAGAAGAAAGAAAATACATGATGAGGTGGCCGAGTGGTTAAGGCGATGGACTGCTAATCCATTGTGCTCTGCACGCGTGGGTTTGAATCCCATCCTCGTCGTTCATATGTTCTGGCATTCGAGAGATTTTATGGTGTTTCTGTAGAAGTACTTTCACTCTCACTCTTTTAGTGTTTTGAAGGATGTTGTTGCAAAATTTTAAGTCATCTTTATCGAAAATAGCTGCAAATACAAACATATATGCCATAGTCCAGCCCCCAACAGGAAAGTGAGTACATACATGACGAGGTGGAAGGGTCCATCGAATCCCATCCTTGTCGTTCAAAAGCTCGGGCGTTTGAAAGAGGCCGGTGCTTCCGTGGAAGGTGTTTTACTCGCACGCTCTTATCGTTTTGAAGGATATTGTTGCAAAATTTACCGTCATCTTTACCGAAAACAGCAGCCAATATATACAGAAATGGCGTAGTCCAGCCCCCAACAGGAAAGTGAGTACATACATGACGGGGTGGCCGAGTCTATCGAATCCCATTTTTGTCGTTGATTTGCTCTGTCGATCATACGGCAAAATTGAAAGTCACCTTACCGAAAATAGTTGCAGAAACATACATATACACATATGTGCCACAGTCCGGCCTCCACAAGAGAAGATGTAAAGTACGTGACGTGGTGGCCGAGTGGTTAAGGCGATGGACTGCTAATCCATTGTGCTCTGCACGCGTGGGTTCGAATCCCATCCTCGTCGCTTGTATGTTCTGGTGTTTGAGAGATTATGGTGTTTCTGCAGAAGTTCTCTCGCTCTTTCAGCGTTTTGAAGGATGTTGTTGCAAAATTTTATGTCCACTTTATCGAAAATAGCTGCAAATACAAACATATGCCATAGTCCAGCCCCCACCATAAAAGTGAGTACATACATGACGAGGTGGAAGAGTCCATCGAATCCCATCCTTGTCGTTCAAAAGCTCTGGCGTTTCAAAGAGGTCGGTGCTTCCGTGGAAGGTGTTTTACTCTCACGCTCTTATCGTTTTGAAGGATGTTGTTGCAAAATATAACGTCATCTTTACCGAAAATAGCAGCAAATACATACAGAAATGCCGTAGTCCAGCCCCCAACAGGAAAGTGAGTACATACATGATGGGGTGGCCGAGTCCATCGAATCCCATTTTTACGTTCATTTGCTCTGTCGTTCATACGGCAAAATTGAAAGTCATCTTACCGAAAATAGTTGCAGAAACATACATATATGTAGTGATAATTGGATTTATCAAATATTAAAATTTGTGTCTCTTTTGACCAGGTCAGGTCACCTTCCTCACACCTCAGAGAGTGAATGTCAGCCATGGGGGGCCTCTTTTGTGTCCCATTTGTGTCTCTTTTGTGACATGCAAGTTTACTGATCCATGTGTATCTCTGAGTTTGAGACAATGTCAAAAGTTGATTGGATCAAGAAGCAAGTCCTGGGCTCTTAACACCTTTGTCTTTCAGATAAACAAAAGACAGATGGTTACTGTCTCAACTGCCACTTTCTGATGAGCTTAAGAAAAGGGTCAGAGTTTAGTGTTAACTCTGCAGCATTTGTTTATATTGGAAATTAATTTCCACAAGTTCCTGGCTTTACCGCTGATCACTACATCCCCCCTCCTTGTTCGAATCGAGGACTGAAGTCGTTGGTCTGGACAATGGAATAAAGTAAAACAGGAACAAAACATACCACTTAACTTTCCCTTTTGACCATTGGCATAGCAGTAATATGACTGAATTTCCAAATAATTTAAGAACTATTTGAAGAGTTTATGTGGAAATGGAAATTTTATGCAAAGGGATTAACAGTTACATGACAATAAGTTTTAAAAGTAAATACTGAAAAATGTTTGTCTGAAACGAAAGCATCTTTAGCAAGAAACCAAATTTGATAATGACATAATATGGTGTTGGACTGTCAAGGATGTACACTGCGTGCACTTGCATATTATGCATAGTTCCTTTCCTTGCCCGACTGACCGATTCCCCAAACAAGTTCACTTGGTACCAAATATGACAGGATGTAATGTCTTGCCATTTTATCAGGAGCGAAGCTCAATTTGGCATTAAGTAAAATTTGCATTATTTTACAGACTAACTAATGGGTCAAGTCACATTCTATATGACATCCATTATCTTAATTACCCTGCTAATGGTATGGTAAGGTCTGTATTTTAATCAACAGCAAATGTTTAAAATGTGAAGGTTCTGCCTGCTTCTGCAGCTGTACTACAGGTTCAATCAACTTATTCTTCTCTTTGGAAGGATGTCCTATAAGGAAAGATTGCAAGGCTGAAACTAGCAACAATTTTACAACATTGGCTGTGATTTGCAATATTTTACATAAGGTGCCAAGTAACTAGTTTATGAGTGGTCTTGTCTGTTGGTTTGACCATCTAGAGGATTGTCAAAGGCATGAAGAAAAAATATCAGTTTGCATGTACAAT